GGTTTCTAGCTAGCGGAATTTCGAGTGATCTTATTGCAGCATGAAACACTGCAAAAACGCATGATCTCACGGGCCTGCCCAGTGCGCGTCGCGAGTGATTGTTATGTTTTTACTATGCAGCGCTATAGCACTGCTACAGTGAGCAAAAACATATTGTTTGGAGGTCGTTCATATGTGTGTTTTTATTTATGTGTATATGTATACTTGTTCGGAAGAGGGTAGACTTCGTGACCATTTTCAACGTAGCAACCAGGAAAGCTGAGTGACTGAGATTGTGGAATCATATTCCCACTCCATGTGTCACCTTCTCGTTTTAAAATTTTCCCTAATAAGCGCGTAGATCTCGTGTACGGGCTCCTGAAAAAAGTTTGCAAAAAAAGTTCGGGCTTTGTAAACCAGACAACTCAGGAAGCTGAAATATTAGCTGAAAATTTGCAAGAATATTCTTCATGCATTTGCAAGAATATTCTTCATGCATCCGTGAGTTAAAGGTTTCAAAATCAGGCTTTGGGTTTTCGTGGTTCACAAGTATGAATACATTAAAGATTTGACGGGAAAATTACTAACTCGGTAAACAGGAAAGGTGGAAGGCTGAAATTTTAGGGGGATTTTCCTTGTCCACTTACAATTTAGAGATTTTAAATTCGGCCCTCAGGCACGCGTGGTACTCACGCACGGGCACGTAAAAGTCTTGGCGGGTAAATTACTAACTCGGGAACCAGAAAAGCTGAAAAGCTGAAATCTTAGGAGAATATTCCTTGTCCAAATACAATTTAAATATTTTAAATTCAGTCCTCCAGATATGCGTGGTTCTCGTGCACGGGCATCTAAATTTTTGGCGGGAAAATTATTTATTGAACAGCTAGGTCATTTTCAAAGAAAGATCAACTGCTAAGCGAAAGTTGTTCATTTTCCTTTATGGAAAATTTCGGTGATTTACGGTGGTGAGCGCACAAGGTAGGTGTAAAGCAACAACCATTCATCAAATTATCCATCTAACTACCTTAAGTTTGTTGCAAAAACGCGAGATCGCACCGCAAGCTTGTTATTCCAGCTTTTGTCAATCTTGTTTTTGCTGCATTGTCTGAAAAAAGTGCTAGATATTCCACTTCCTTTCAGTTGCCATGTTGGTATTCCTTTTAATCCTTTACGAAATAGTCATTATAAAGGGCATGCAGTGGATTTGCGGTTTTGAGGGAACCAAACTTCGGGTATGGGGATGACAGGTAGTTTTGTTAGTTAAGTTTTACATGTTTTTAGCATACTCGTAAAGATGGTGAGCAGGGTTTGTTGCCGTCATGCTCATCCAGCTTTATCATTGGCCCGGATGGTCAGCCACTGACCGATGAAGAACGTGCCTTTCTGGAAGAAAACTTCGGTAAATTGGAAGCGAATGATGCGACATTGGATAACGATGATTTGAGCGACGAGTATGACGAGTTCTTAACAACTGGTTTGGCTTCAAATTCAAAAATTTAATACTTCTCGAATTTTACGTTTTTGGCAATTTTTTGAATTGGGTTTTCTCTTGTGGAACTAGGATAATTTGATTTTCACGCAAATATGTGTGGAGGTTGAAACGAGGATTGGTTAGATTCGTTGGTGCAGCGTTCCAGTTTGCCATGCCTCTAATCCACGTTGTTTTGTAGCAAGAAAAATTGTAGTGGTAGGGAAAGAGCAACCAGACACTACATTGCCGTGTATTTTTAGCCGGGATGTTGAAATTTTGTGTTGTAGTTGATAATGAAGAAGCAAAGAAATGTGTGGCAGAAATTGAAGTTGCCGAAATTGAGCAACAGTTAGCAAGAAGCACTCTGACTGGGGGTCTGGATCGACGTGAAAATGGTCCAACGGAGAATGGTACAGGTCGGACGACAACATGAATGATTAAAGCGAAGTACAATAATGCAGTCATATATATGTGATCATTTGTAAATGTGTCGTCAGAAATCACAAACGGGTTGTGATTTTCAGTATTAAATTTGTACCAAAACTATGGGGAAACCTAGTTGCAGTTTAAAACAAATTTTGGAAATTGGCATAAAATCGTGTTCAGAAAAAATGGAATATTTTTTAACTTACTTTCCTTTTTAAATTTGTACGTTCTTTTTACTCTCTAGTGCAATCGGGAATGCTTTTACAGCAAATTTCTTTTTGTATTATGAGTTCGAAACTTTTCTGGGTTTGAAGTTTTTTCTTGTGAGTTTTAAAATTTTTTGGTAAAACAAACTTTTTTCAGTCTGCATATCTTCTGACAGTCGGTTTCCAACAAAAAAATCCCATTAGCTTAAGTAAAAATTTAGTAAAAGTTCAGCGAACAGCGGCTGACTAAATGATGGGCTTAGGAATAAAAAATGTACAGACATCGAGGCTGACGCGCTATGATCTGCAGCAGTATGTTGCAAAAGTCGAAATTTGTATTCACTATCGACAAAAGGCAAACGTATACAAAAGGTTTTGGCACGGCGCTGTTGGTGCCCTTCCGCTGCTAAGGCTGTCAAATAGTTTCTATTTCAAGACTTTTTGAAGCGAGCTGATGGCGGACTTGAGTCCCGGCAATGACGGAAGTGAACGAAGGCCGGCTATCCCTCAGACGAAGTCAAATCTTTTTTATATGGCGACAGCCCTGGCTCGACCCGGTTGGAAGGGGGGAAGCTGAAGGTTGCATTGGCTCGAGGGATGATGGCGCAAGGGTGGAGGAGAGTGTGTTCGGATTTGGCGTGCGGGGATTCGAGGTACAGAGAGGGGGTTGTAGTGGGTGGGTAGAAGGGCCACGTGGCGTAGGCCGCTTGACAATTGCCTAGGGCGCGTAAGAGAGAGCGGAGGGGTGACGGGTGAAAAAGAGGGGAGCAAGAAAAAAGTAGAAGTAAAAAAGAAAATAAAAGCACGAAAAGCAAATGAAAAACCGCCTCCCGTCGGGGACTTCAAACCAGCAGCACGGCTCCTCCTCCTTTCCGCCGATTATCCCCTCCCCTCTTCTGCGTGGACACGCCACGTTACTGCTCAGTCCACCCTATCAGTCTTCTTCCTCTACCTCCAATCCCTGCGCCCCACTACCACCCCGTCTGCAGCACTCACGTCCCATGCCGAAACGGGGTGAGGACACTCGAAAAATCGTTTGAAGATTATGCGTGGACCTGGCCGAGCCGAGCAGCTTTTCAGTGGGTGATGATAGGGCTGACCCAGGAGGGATGGTGGGACTCCAAATATGGTTCGTAGGTGGTGGCGGATGTTGTGGGTTTCTTTCGAGACGGGGGGTGGGAAGGGGACTAGGTAAACTTATATAGCACAGTCTTTGTGTGGCTAAGCCACACACTTCTGGAAAAAAAGGGTGGAGGGAAGGGGGAGGGTGGTGGTTGAAAATGCTCCTGTTTTTTTGCCGCTGGTAGCAGGGGTTGAGAAAGGGCTGAAATATTACTTGATTTCGGAGTGCTGCTATAGTGGGGATGGAAAAGAGCTTACATGTTGCTTTGCAGGCCATTTGCGGATCCAGGGGGGGTCTTTCGTCTCCCCCCGCCCCCCCCCCCCCCCCCCCCCCCCCCCCC